ATTCCGAAAATCTGTGATAGCCTGGCAATCACCTCATGAATCCTATCTTTAGTTAATTGGTATATTTCTATTCCTGACTTGATTATTTACACCGTTTCTTACCGCAAACTCTACTAATTTAGTTAAAGTTGAAAATAGCTGTCACTACAGATAAGTATTATCTGAATGGACGTTGAAAAATCGGCTACCATTTTGTTTTAATTTGTAATTCACAACCCGACAACATATAGGGACGCCCAGTCTCATGCTGAGTGTTATACTATTAAATCCCTCAGACAGGATGAGATCCATTATTTATATAATAATTAAATTTACCACGACAATCACTTGTTTAAACAGCGTTAACTAAGGTGAATCCGATAGGTTATTTGATCAAGGTCTCAACATTTAAATCGCGGATCTTTTCAAATTACCTTAATACAACAATCGAAGATTTAAACCGATGTAACTCATAAGTGGAAAAATTTTCTTTACGCATCTTAATTAAAATCCTATGTTCTCCTAAACATTCAACAATACCGTATTGTTTTGAGAAGACAGTTGTGAAAAGATACTACTACATTAAGTTATAATAGTACTATATTTTTAATATCCCGCAAGAAGTAGAAAACAGAATTCTCAACATTTCACGGGTTTTAATGAGAATTGAATTTTTAGGAAATCAGTAACCATTTTTCGAAATAAAATTAGTTGAAATAGTACAAGGAACAAATCCTAGTTCCTTGCCTACATTTGGAACTGTAATAAAACCCCAAGGTTGTAAGTTAACATGATAGTTGCTTATGAATCAGCAAACAAATGATCAGTCAAGAATAATTCATAGTGAATACGTAATTCGTAAGTATCCAAAGATAAATGAAAGGAAAATTTAAATGGACCAACCTATCGCCAATTAAGTCAACTACACAGTATAAGGATTTTGTAGAAATGAATGAATTTTGTAGATAACATCATGGATTGGTTTTAGTTAGACAACCGATGAAAATTAGGAAACACTGTAAAAACTGTTTCATCCTCAATGAAGGTGCGCATCCATGAGCCCGAAACACAGGATCGAATCCACGACTTTTAAGTGTTGTAGAAGAAGCTTGATCACCAGACCACTGGGCCAGTATCCAATGGTTGACATGTCTAATTTCAAATAAGTTAAAAGAAATCGACAAGCATACTACCGCATGAAATCTAATGAAGATGGTGGCTTATCAGTGAACAAACTAAAAACCGAAGGTAGATATACTGAAAATTACTAGTAAAAAGATTTAATATTTGGAATCAACTATCTACTCGGCAAAGTTATTTACAGGACAAGTTAAAATAATGAACACTGACATTACTGAAAAGGGTACATGAAATTTTCATTAAAAATATCAAATCCTTTGATGAGACTATAAATCTTTGGCGACTGAAGTAGTTACGACATATGCCACATACTCTCGGTCATCGACAAAACCAACCCACTGAAGTTGGTTAACACAGACTGTAATGTAAAAACGGAATAGGGATGGCTAGACAGAAAATATTTAAACTTTATGATCAACTACAGATTAGTGGTTGTTTCACAAGATATACGACCATACTCAATGTACTAGCGGCAAGTGTAAATATAGAACTGTTTGCAACAAGAAAATACACCTGAAAGGAATGTGATTTCTAAGTAGTAAAGATGCTATGGCACAAATGTCCTAACATCACAAATATTTATCAATCCCAATAATTTACCTAAAATACATTCGGCTATATTATCTTTTCGTCGCATTCTAAACATAATTATATCATGGTACCATTCCATTGCAAAGTGGATAACTTACATGGCCAAACCAGTCTAAAGGGTGATTTGTCAGTATTCTCTGTGCAACACTTCTGAACTTGTTAGTGTTGTATCATGAGCGTTTCACATAAGATGATAGTTTTATTAAAATACTTAGTGTACAAACGTAATTTGTTTTATGGTTTAGGTTGAAAACGCGTTTTTAGCGTATTAACTAACTGAACGAATGAACTATATTTATATTGGTGTACGGTTAGCCTTGATATGAATACCGAGAATAAATTTTGTTCGACAATTTGTTCATTGCATAATCATCAAGTTTTATCACAATAACAAAATAAAAAGCTGTGGCCAGTGGAGTTCAACAGTATCGGATGAGAAAGATACCTAGTGAAGACAATAGAAGATGGTTTCGCAAAATCGTGAATGGATTTAAGTTAGATAAAAATACTGTTGGATATCGATCGACTCAATGGTTTAGAAGTTAAGCGTTTGCACGCGAGACCGAAAGTCTTGGGTTCGATTTCCATTGGTGAGGTCATGGATATATACTACCACGAATGAGTCCTAGATATGGACAGAACGTCTGTCTAGCATTTTCTGGTTTCTAATGATTGTGTCTAAATTATGTAAGTTCGTGATCTCCACGACATTTAATGATTTCCACAACCTCCAATATTGAAAAAGAAATAAACACTGAGAATAAATAGTGATAAAGATTCAATTTTTATATTCAACTATCCTTGTAAACGTACTCGTAAAATAACTGATATGAAGAGTCTTGAGGTCAACACCAACAATACAAACTATTAACATGAATGATTTGTATCTACTTATGTATAGATTATGTGTAAATAAAAAATCTCATATTTATAATGCTTAATTAAATATGAAATTGAGTATAAACACATGCTAGTAGGATGACTGAAAATTGAATCTTTAAAATACAACAATACTAATTCAACTATGAGATAATGGAAATACAATTCATATATGGAAAAAAAGCGACGTTTCATCAACAACAAAAGAAAACGATATCGGGAGTACTCTCAGAGCGAGTAAACATATATACCGGATATCAAATGATGAAATGAAGAGTAAACATTTGACACAATTGTGTTTACTACAGAGAAGATAATCAATCAAACAAGGTGATAATTTCTATATATATTCAGGGGTTAAAAACTGAAATGCTTTTAGTGAACAAGTCAAGTTTATTATAAGTCAATTTTATACAATATCAATATATTGCCTACTTAGAGTATGATTTTTCAAAAAAAAGGAATGTAACCATTTATGCATAGAAACCTAGAAAAGAACTATTTATAAATAGAAGAGATTCATATTACATATAAAGCGATGAGATAACTATTTACTGAATATATTCCATCACTACTTGTGAATAATGGTAAGCATTAATCATTGATTAATTAATTTTAACATTTACATTGTAATTTTAAAGTGTTATCCACTTAGTTACCACCTTTAAGTCACCTTCTAAATGGAACGAGGCTAATAATACTACATAACCAAATTCCTTAAATTAAAGTTGATGAAGTGAGGTTGAAATCTTAGCATTAGTGAGTTACAGTTACAGTACATAGTTCATTAAACCAATTATTATTAACCAAAAAGCTAGATATTTGTTAATCATAATAATAATAATAATAATAAAAAACAACACTGAATATACAAAATCACTCGACTATAATAATTTCCCTTTTTCTAATAATCCTTATTTTGGTGTTAATCATTGAACACACAAAAATATACTTCAGTAAAAAATATGTTGGGATTAAAACAGATACATTTGTTGTACTGACTCTTTTCTTAACTAGAAATAGACGTTAATGTATATATATATATTCAAGTATAGATTCTCTGTTTAACTGAATGTATAGTGTTAACTAGTAGATTTTACCTGATATCGAGGAAATGTGTTTTTTTTTTTAATGTGGAATTTGGTTGAAACGAAATATGTTGCCATGTGTAGAGATGAACATGTAAACCTGTAATAAAGAAAGGGTATACCACCCATTCACATGTACACACACGCACACTACAAAATAGATTTATATATTATAGTGCGCTTGTATTCCAAGTAGAAACTATGTAATTAATTGCTGTAAGAATAAAAAAGAATATGCTCCAATATACAATACGCCATTGTACGTTTCAGTTGTACATACAACTCATTAGATACCATGATGAAACTTTCCATTTATTTTGTTCAGTTTTCTTTTTATGATGATTTCTGATTATAATGAAATAAAGCCAAGTTAATTAGTTAGTTAAGTACCATGAAGACAATGAATTATAAATGGTAGTTAGAAACAAGGAATTATTAAAATTATACACATAAAAATAAGAAAACACTTTTGTAATTTATGAGAATGGATATTGAATATCCGTACGTATGATATAAATGTATGTGCAGATTTGTGTGTGTGTGTGACAGGGAGAGAAAGAGAACAAAATAGAGCAAGAATACATAGAACACAAGGTCCAAAGAGAAGAACAGTACAAAAGACAACAACAACAACAACAAAAAACCATCACTAAGAGAGAGGAAGAAGAGTGTAAATAGTTTGCTAACAGAAAGAGAGACTTCATTTCCCCAAAACAGATACGATACATTGGTGAATATATATATATATGGCTTATGGGGCTACGGAGATTAAAGAAAACAGTAGTAATAATAATTGTGTTGATAGATAATAACGACAATTGACAATACCATGTAATGGTAAACACGCACGTACGCAAGCACATACACTTTTACACATACACACACACACACACGAAGGATCCTAAAACTGTAAATTACAAATTAGTCAATAAGAAGTATACTAAGTGAATACAAACACTTGAGTAAAATTTAGATGCAGAGTTTAGTTGTTTATTTTCAAAGTGAACAATTATGTTCATCTCCGACAGTTTGTATTTATACACTGGTGATGATATACAAACTTTATTTATATATCATTATTAGATACACTGTTTTATACACAGAAATAATTTAGATAAGAGGCTAATTAATAAGTCAATATTGTTTATGAACACAATCTTCATAGGATAGATAATATAAATACATATCTATATGTGTGTATAGACACAGAGAGGGAGAGAGAGAGAGTAAACCTTTAGAATATTATAAATATCATTATATTGTTAACTGTGCATGAAAAATAGTAATAATAATAACAATAATGAAAGGAGACCAGTTAAAAATTTACACACCTAATAAATCATACAATTCTTCATCTTTCGAAGGCATTTTTGCAGTATTCAACATTTTTGTCAATAATGGAGGTGTATGAATAGTATTAGCAGTAGTAGTAGTAGTGGTACTAGTGGGTGTAGTAGTAACTGAAGAGGATACTTTTTCTACAATATTGAATTCATTATTAATGGATGTTGGTGATGGTAATGGTGAAGTGACTGGATGACATGATTTGATCGGAGAACCAGATGCTTTAACTGCAGCTAACTTATCCGCTATTACTTTACGCTTAGCTAGAAGAACTGGTAATAGACTGGATGACGATGATAATGTAACTGTAGAAGATAAAGTGGAGGCCGACGATGTCGATGAGGTTACACTCGTTAAATTCGGCTGAATATGATGAGATCGTGTTGTAGGTGTCATTTCTGATTTACCTACAGTGACTACAGGTTTTGAGTTAGATGACTTAGCAGATTTTTGTGAACTAGCTGCCGACATAAACAATTGTATACGTGAATCAAGATCTAGATGGTCAACACTAGGGGATGCCTTTGCTTCAAGTTGGTCAGACGGACCAACAGAGCCAAAAGATAGTGATGGCGGGGGCGGCGGAGGCGGGGGTGGAGATCCTAAACTGGCTGTATTTGGATAATTTATTGCGCCTGCCTCGTAAGCGGCTACTTGTTCGACACGTGACATGACCGATTCTTCATCTTCTTCATCATGCATATGAGCAGTGGCGGCAGCGACGGCCGATGCTCTAATTATTCGACCTCCTGTAGATCTTATAGAGGAATTGGTTACATGATTAGATATAGATTTATATGGTGTATCAGACCGTGTAGATGAAACGGCGGCAGCAGCCATTCGTTCTTCTGTTGCACGTATTCGTGATAGGACATCATCGACTTTTGCTTCTAAATCAGCTGTTAAATTTTCAGGTTCAATTGTAATAGTAGTAGTAGTAGTATTGATAGTAGTGGTGGTGGTATTATCCGATGTTGATTCGGAACTATTATTCGAATTTGTATTATTTTGTAGTGTTGTTTATTATCAACATCAGCGGAAATGGACAGTGAATCAGTTTTTGAAGTATTTTCCATTACAGAATCTTGAACTGAATGAATACGATTTTGATGAGATGCAATAAGTGCCTGTGCTTGAGAGAGCTATAAAAAGAATAAACAAATTATGTTTTAATTCTGTTAATTGAACATTAGAATAATGAATAAAACTTTCATTTAACAGTAGTTATTTAACAGTTTAGGGTTGATAATCTCCATAAGATTAGAATCTGAGTCATTGAGCATCACAATCTAAGACGCTATGAATAACTTATTTTCGAAATCTTGAGAAAGAAAGACTTACTATAAAACCGAATTGAGGAGTAATAGGGAATTAAGATGATAATGGTTGAGATGAGTTAACTGATATCAAATAATTAACGCTAACAGAAAATTAAACGGATCAACGGATAATAAAAATGATAATACCGTAACAAGACTTGAAAATAAATGCACATTTTATTTTCATTTAAATCACCGAATGCAGGATATTTGTTATCCTTTTCTAAAAAAAGAATCAATGGAACATTTCTTGGATTAATTGCTGATAAGCACAATTAGGTAACTGGTTTGTTACAGGATGATAATAATAGTGGATAGTACGTTCTTTGCAGCAACCATAGGGGGAAGTGGTTAGTAATCCATAGTTTACCATATTTTGGTAATAAAAGGATAAACGTTAGTGGAGTTAGGTATATATAGGTAATTCGATGCGCGCTCTTTGTAGGGACATTATTCAACTTGGTTGAAAAGCGGAAACCACGGATCCATAGGAAACTTTATATTCGAACGTCATGCGAGAGCACAAGTCATTCAACTAAAAACAGACTAAGGATTCAAAGTCATCTTACAAAGTGAATAGAAACTTGACTAAAAATAGATATAGCTCCCATCACCTTACCGATGCCAAGAGCTTTTGCTATACATCATCTAGAAAAGCCGGGATTGGGTATGCGAAAAAAACAATCCATATTTCTATATTTACATTTTACCTGTATCGTATTTTTGTTTCCATGCCCCCTACCATTCTATCTCTGATTATACCTTACTATAACGTCAAATATTTTATCTGATTATGTTACGTAACTGCTTCTCCAAATGTAAATTTTACTGTATATTAGAGTAAAGCTATATATATATTATTTGTTAAAAGTATTGTACAGTGACGAGACAGTAGTAATCAAGAACTTACTTAAAGTGTTTCGCACAAACTTCAAATAACAAGTATAGGAAACAGTTAAAATAACTTGGTGCATTACTCAAACCGTTTCAAATGATTGTATTTATTTTTTTTATTTCAACACATAGATATTGGTACAAGGAGGCACCAAACACATATGCGCCACACAAATCTCATTTGACATGTGTGAGGGCTGTTATACTGCCCGGGTGCCCAAACCGAAGCAGGTGGTAATATATTTTATGGACGAGCTAAATACATATCATCTCTTGACTTTCTTTTCACCGCTAAATTTATTCATCCATATAGCTACAAAGCATTTATATGTTGGAGATAATATCAGTTCATGAAGAAAAACCGTCAACCCTTACAGAAGGAACAATGTAGATGACTCTGAAAAATCTATATACATCCTTTTAATGGTCCGATAAGATAGACAGACTAAATCCATAATAAGTTTATATATCGTTATCTTGTTTCCATTTAGACAGATTACCTTGTAGATTTTAATAGATTCATTAAAATCAGTCTACAACTTGCAATTTTTTTTTATTCTCTTTTCATTAACTATCCATTAACAATGGCTATTTCTTAATTGACTGTGTAAAAAGTAGTCACAGATGTTCTAAGTCCATCACTATACTACACTCTTGAAGATAGTTTCTGTGATAATATGAATAGTTTTAAGATTGCATAACAACTTATAATATGAAATTGCGTAAGAATCTTTCTTGTATTTCATTAGGTATGTGCGTATATATAATAAAGTGATTATAGAAAAGGCTTAAATTCTTATTAGATTCAAATTACTGATCTAAGAAACTAGGGCAAACGTCAAAGAGTCACGCCTTATTATTATCATATCAAGAGATCGATTGGAAAATACTGTTTACATTATCAAAATAAATTGTTGTGCCAATATGAGAGCCCAGATAATCTAGTTTGTTTGGTTATTTCCAAAATATCATAATATTATTATTTTCAGACTGCTTTGCCATAAGGTCATTTTATGTTACTATGTAAACAGAGTTGTACCTTTACAACTTTCCACTTTTTGTTTGGAATATAAATTCTATACTAAAAGTGCTAGCTCCTCTGTTTTATATTATTAGTATCTATTATTACCCGCAGTGTTGTTATGTCAGTCAGTAACAACATAGAACTTCGCACATGCGTAGGTACGTACGTACGTATATCAGTTCGAGTTCCCATACCACATTAGCACAGAGATGCAGTTGTCGATTTAAATCCCACAGTGGTAGAGATAGTAAAAATATAAGCAGTAATCGGAATGATTAGGGTTTAAAGATGTTATTCAAGGAATATAATCCAGTGAAATGAATTTGGAAAGAGAAAAAACAAACAGATATGAAGAGTTCAGAATATTATAATTTGGGAGAACATAAAGAGTAGATACACCTGCGCCATTGCAAACGATTTTGAACCATGTCATTCAAAGTCTCTAACCATCGGTAGTGTTGTTATGTGTTAGATGTCCAGTTTATTTGAATTCCTATTCAATGGATTGCATTAGGGAAAATCTTCAGTTGTTCTCAAATGGAACTGATCAGTCAATGAGAACCTTTTATTATATAAAGTCATTTTTTTAAACAAGAATTATTATAGTAATATTTTTGCAAGAAAAAGAATATACTACATTTATATACCTCTTCTTTGGTAGTATTCGCCTGTAAAGATTGAAAAAATTGAAATGTTGTTTGAGCAGCTTCACGAACTTCATTTGACAGTTTATACCGTCGACACTAAAAGAAATATTAATAATAAATATTGAGAATAGAAGAAATTTGATGAATGATTGATTATAGAATATCACTGAATCAAATATGTTTATTAAGAGGAGTAGAACAAAAGTAGTTTGCAGCAATGATGTGAGTTGAAACTTACAGAATTGTAATTAGCTCTAGTGAACTCGAGCATTAACATATTCTAATTCAGTTTATTTATACGACTATGAAGGAAGATTTGGCTATAAACACTTTACGATATATTGAAGTAAGGGTAGAGAATTTGAGAAATAAAAATAATGGGAAGTTATTTAGTCTTCCAAGGGCAATAATAATTGATTGAAGAAAGCTTCGTTTATAGATATTCACAATGAACACTTGCATCTATCGTCATTTTGGTCTCTTGAGGTGGTTGGAACATTTGTTTCATATGCCCAGCTACCACCTAACTCGACGGGTGATGTTGTTTGGAGTAGGAATAGATTGGAAGAAAGTTAAGGGGCAGTTAAACCAAAACATGGAACCAACCCATGAAGTTACTAACTGTTGGACCAAATCATGTAAATAGATGCATACGACCGGGTTGGGGTTTGTGTGATAACGGTGACCAGTGATGGGAGATTTTAGGTAACATATTTCTGTTATATCCTAGTGAAGATTAAAGTACGAGTAACTTCTGAGACCAATTAATGGAATAATATTATCTATATATCCTTATGGTATAACTATTTAATAATCAGATTGTATATATTTATATTCCCCTTATTATAAGCTTCATTTTGACCTATAGATTATTATTGTACGATTTACTGTTCCTAAGTTATACTCAGTTTATTAATTACTGTCTCCCACGTTCACAGCCACTTTTTAGCTTCATTGTGTACGAATGTTATTTCCTATTTTATGATGCGTTGCGGTCTGTTATTGGCATTCTGGACTCAGCTGGAAGGGCTAGGCGAGCAAACGACCAATAGGACGCTAGGCTGGTCAGACCAGTCGAACGTCATCCGTTTAGTACAGTACGAATGTGAATAAATCGTATTTTGATTGGCGAATAAATTGCGTAATAACTAGCGGCCCATAAAGACACAACAAGTTCAGAATCGTCTGCAATTACTATTAACGGTTTTATCCTCTTAGATTCCAGATCACGAAATATCCTTATAATCTTTTATTTTCTACTACTACTAATGACACTGTGTTAATACTTCTAGTCATGAATCTGCCTTGACCGGTTTATCTCACTGTGATAACGTAGTAAGACACATTGGACTGATGTATATATGTTCTAGATTCTACGTTGCATATGACTGAGAGATTAAAATCAAACTAAATTATACTTCAAAAAACAAACTAAAAGTGAGATTATCTGGCATTTCTTAAAAATGAAATATTGATGTAGCGTTTAGTACGTACTTCATTAGAGATTTAATCTTGACAGAATTTTTATCGTTAATTGACACTACTCAACTGAAGAAACACTATTGGCAAATACACTAATACCTATAAAAAGTGCGGGGCATTCTTGATCCTGACTCCATAATGATCTGGTTGCGTAATTCGAAGATGAAACCAGGAAGGCGACCATCTGTAGTTTCAAAGTTACGTTTCTTATTATTTGATAGTAATTAGACTGATTATTTCTGGTCAGTGCTTTTTAGCAAAGCTCTCTCTGTTGTGAGATGGGGGTTGCTAACGCTCATGCCTAATTTTCTTCCTTTATCCGGGCTTGGGAACGGCAGAAACTCTAGAAGAGCTTCAGGCTAAGACGCTGCAAGGAAATCAAACTTCATCACAAGACAAGCTCTGATCACGAATCTTTAAGGCGGAAAAGAGGCAGACAAAAAAACATATGGAGTTGGAAACTGGAAACAGACATTAAAAGCATGAATAGCACCAAATAAATACAAAGGAGGGGGCAGGATAGAGTTGATTGGATATCTCTAGTCGATGCCTATCATCAACGAGAGGCAACACACGTAAGTAAGAAAACTTGAATCAGCGGCAATGAGGTTTAAATCTAACGGGGAATAATGATATGTATTCAGGTACATCCTACGAAGAGATTTTAAACAGATGGAAGTGAACGAGTGTGAACATCACTATGGGATACCATTAGATGTTGTTAAAAAATAATCAACCATTTTCTTCTACAAATATACGATGAAAATATTACAAAATAAAAAAAAGCATTGATAGTAACATTTTACAATAATCACATTATATACAAAGAAAGTCAAAATACTAACTTCACTCACCTTTTTAATACAATCCATAAGATCCCAAGCTTCAGCTAACTGAGGAAGTCGAACAGGGATAGAACGAACTTTATTCAATAGTTGTACCGCTTCGGCAAAATTCTCGTGGCCTTTGATTAGACTGGTTTTCAGGTCACGACAGCATTGATTCAACTGAGTGACAGGATCATTTGATGCTGCAGCCTGACGAATACCTGTATTTTTATTAGCAGTTATAAGTTAAATAACTAACTGATATCAGTATGAAGGGTTTGTGGAGATTATTGAAATAACAACCCAATGACTACTTTTGATAATGTTGCTATATTTTCCGTTACTCTGGGATTTGTCTTGATAATTTTAGACATCCATTAAAAACGACGAAGCAGTAAACGGCTATTTTGCCTTAGTATCGGTCTATTCCGTAGTGCGTACACACGATCCAGTCACAAGGAGTCGAACCCAAAACCTTCAATCTTGTACACAAATGCTTAACCTCTAGGTCGTTAACCTGGCATCCAATGGTTTACATGCCTAACTCCAACCAATAATTAATAACATATCTCAAAGAACACCGTAACAATTAAAAGAAAACAGAAATCAACGGAAGACCCGAGACCAGTACGTTAAGAAAGAACTAAAGAAGCAGTAGCTAGCCATAAACAATCTCGTGTAAATCGGCTCCGAGTGTCACAGTGAAGAGGGAAATAACAAGGTGAAAAACGTAAAGAGATTGAAATTGCAACATTGATGATTGTGAAAATTATATCCGGTGAATCCGAAAACGAACTAAATTGGCAGATGAAAAAATTATGAACATTGCAACATAGAAATCTGAAGACGAATAAATGTAACTGTAGGTTATAGGTGCTTAGAGGTTGTCGTCAGCAGAGAAGCCAGAATAGCTCAATAGTGAATCTCAAACTGTGAAGCTGAGCGAAGAGGGTTGAGTCAGTCCCTTGATGACCAGAGGTACACTTTACTGATCAGTTCCCATTAACACGAAACCTATGTCAAGTACTGTCCCCTGTTGACTACGTCCAAACAACCATAGGTCGAATCACTTAAACTAGTGACCACATTGCCCCCAAATGCTCTGGTACGGCTTCTCGAAATGCTTTCACATGGCCTCCTAAGGGAACCAACTGCTTCGGTTTGGGCACCCAGGCAGTATCACAGCACTCACACAAATCAAATGAGATTTGTGTGGCGCATATGTATTTGGTGCCCCTCGTACCGACATTTATGTGTTCAAATAAATAAATAAATAAAGAATGACCACATTGCAACTTCATCAACAGAGTTCCATCCACACAAAGGGATTAGACAAACATCACATTGGTCACTATTCAGTGATCAATTATTCGTAAATGCAAACTGCATCAGTTATCGAGTTTCCAAACAATTTGTTCTTCTTTATTTCATATCAAGCCTGACATTCAAGCAAAATAAATATCATCACGATCTATTATTTTCCATAATCTGCTATGTATCTAGTTCATTTTCTCTTATTATGGTAACATGAAGTATGGCAACATCATCCACTGATTCAATGTTATGTCAGGTCTTACGTGAGATGATTACTGACTGATAAATAATTTAACAGGATATTAACACGCAGATAAACTGTTACAGACGTGATTCTTAGGTAAAAACAATAGCTTGTAACTGATAAATCATCACGTTCGGTAGCAGACCTGATGATGTAAAAATCCACGGAATTAGTTAAGTAAATCCCAGGTAATAAATTTGTTAGTGATCTAAATATTCATATGATATTATTACGTGTAAAAAAAAAAAAACAATTTGATCGACATCGCTTGATTTCTAATAACATCACAACTAGATCTCATATACAAAACAGATATGATTCGCAAAATAGTAAATAGAATCACGTAGCTGTTTGTAATTATAGACCTTCAAAGTTTAACGTTGAAGGTAAACCAAGGAATTTGATCGGCTAAATTGTAATTTTCATAGTTCAAATCACGAACTGATTTTAGCTAGAACACTATTGATAAATTGGAAGCCCTGGATGGTTACTTGGTCCTAGTATCCGACACCTAAGCAACGGGCATCAAGGCCCTGGAACCGACAAATGAACCCAGAGCCTTCAGTCTCACGCCCAAACGTTTAACCCCTAAACCACTGATCCAACAATATAAAATGTCTCACTTTAAATAATTCACAATATTGTCCAACCCTCATCGATTGCTTGCGGTGGATAACTGTTTTGCACTCGAAACAGTTGAACTCCACTGGTCAAGGCTTTTGATTGAAACTCTAGGAGTTGCATCTTTAAGCTAGTCACTATTAGATAGGGAATAATTATTATCAGTAATGATAGATTTATAGAGATTGTAGGATTTTCATAGTTTAAATCACGAACTGGTCTTAGCTAGAATTATCAGTAATCTAAAACAGATCCAGTTGTCAAAAAAAGTAAAATAAGAACTTCCAAAAACGCGCGAAAAATAGAGAGATGTATATAGATACACAAACAACTGAATAATGACGAGCGTCACATTCATCGAGTACGTCAGTGTTGTTAATCTAATTCTATCGATCAATTTACAAGGTGACCACAATCTAATGGACTCGAGATCACATGCACTATGTTCAGATGTAATTTATTTATTTATTATTTATTTGGACACATAGATATTGGTACAAGGGGGCACCAAATACATATGTGCCACACAAATCTCATTTGATATGTGTAGGGTCTGTGATACTGCCCGGGTGCCCAAACCGAAGCAGGTGGTTTTATTAGGGAAGCCACTTCCTGACCCTTCGACATGAAGGTCTGATCCACAAGTCAGTGGAGCAACGTAAGGAGATGCAGTCCCATGGAAGCCGGTGACCAACAATTGGTTCATACGCCATTTGTTCCTTCAGGATGCTGGGGCCCATGTGCACCATTGGTTTGGAATCAGGGTTTTCCAACTCCCTTAGGTGGATCATCCATATCCAGCAACTTAGTTAAAGCGCCAGATATTCTCTTTTCGTCCTCTCAATTTCGTAAACAACACCCCCGCCACGAGAAGGCAGTGGGTAGGACTTCCGTGGCAGAGGCTATATACGCGTGGCCATGTGAGAGCATTTCGAGAGGTAGAGCAAACTCTCCCCACTCTCGGCCGTACCATGGCATTTGGGGGCAGTTGAAGTACTCGACAGGAAACCCTGGACCTAGAATTCGTTTTGTTGGCACTCGTCAGCAAGGTGTACCTGTAATCTTGAAGATGGTACTTCCCGGAGGTTTTGAGCCTATATCACTCAGCTACACAGGCAGAGAACGTTACCACTGAGCGATTTGGGCCGTTAATGGTAACCTGGAGAATTGAGATTTATTAACAGTTAACTGACCATTGTCATGTTGATCTAGTCGTGTATACCGTGATATCTTTGGTCACGTTTTTCATATTAACAAAGGGAAATATAACATATATATGATAAAAGCTTACCACTTGAATCGTTAGAGATTCTAAAAATTATAAAAAAGAATTTTTAAGATGACAGATCACGGACAAAATAAAATATAAAATTTTGGAAAAATACAAATGACCTAGTTAATCTATAACTGGATTCAATTTTGAGCCCTTTTTTCGTATCAATAATAATATTACGTAACGTAATAGTATTACGTAACAGTAATAATTCAATAATGGCTCACTAGTTAATACGTTTGATATTCAGCTAGTAAGTTATAAGTTTAAAGCTCACTTCATCCATTGTAATTGGAGTAAAAAGAAGGGACGCATTATTAGGGATGAAAATACTGCGCGGCAGTTCGTTCTGTTCTACTTTACGGCTACGAAACGTGGCCATTAAGAGTAGAAGATACTCTACCATTGAATTAACTACTTCTATGAATCCGGTGTTTATCTTGTTGTGCTAACGAATGAAGTATGGCAACTTGAACCGATGCATGTATGTGCCTGATCTTACGTTGTAGCTGACTGACCGACTAGCGGTTTCACTACACTTAAAGTACGACTATCGAAGCCAAGTACATACATTTGTATTTGATGAATTGTGAACAGCATCTATATTCCATATTATGTGAACAAACCAATGATTTTGAAAACTGAATAAAATTTGTGTGAACATACTTTATTTCCTAATTATCACTTATTTATAAAAACTTAAAATAGGCAATCGAATCGATTATTAATTGGAAGTATCTTCTTGAACAAACAGTTGAAAAAGAATAGAAAGGTGATACTATAATTTATGAACGATCTTTCAGTGACGCTGACGTGACCTTGCGAATGTCCACCTAAAAACCAGGACCAAATGAAGGTCTTAAAGCTGTGTGAGTAACTAGAATTATGATTTACAGTTGAGGATTAAAAACCAGATTTAGGGTTTTCATTACGAACTGACATCAGCTATTATGGGAAAACTCTTTTTATTCAAATGGATGAATGAATTTCAAACCAATAATAATAAAATACTCATATTGAACAATTCACCTCAATGATCTCAACAATAAGCCTGAGTATCAGACGGAATTACACTATTTACTCATCAGCCTGAAGTGTCTGAACGTAGCACAGATCGCAAATTATTCAATGAAATATCTACTAATTCTGATTATTTTATAAATCTTAGTCTAATGAGGTGTTTGTAACAACAACAAATATGAATATATCACTCAGTCTTACATCATATACATATACAAGTTGATTTCTTCTTTTAAAGTTGTCTACTTAATTTCCGTCATTGTTTCAAAGTCAGTAGATCTTTACGAACTGATAACATGTTCTATAAATTCATTTTAACATTGAATATTGAAATGGTTAATCTACTTTTAAAATTCAACAGCTCTTAATAACTAGTAAGCTAAGAAAGAATATGACTTGTGCTAAGAAAACAACAACCAATTAATGAATATAAGCAAGTAAGATATACATATGATAGACTGACTGAACTTATTCTCTCTAGCTGTAAATATGTACAAATCATCATTCATTTAGATTATCTAAAATAAGAATCAATAAGTATTTCAGAAAGGGATCTACGTTTAATAAATCTAACTGATTACACAATAATGGTTCACATGTATGGTTAAGACTTTTTATAAGTGAATATTTGATTTAGAGAAGTTTTATGGAACTAAATAAACAAATAGACAAATAAAAAGTTAGTTGACAATTAAATGTGTTAGTTCTATCATCAAAAAAGCTACAACTAACTGTGATAATCCATCATAGTGAAATTAAATGTCACTATACCGTTGATAACCATAGAGTGTGGGGATATCATACAGACCGACTAAGTTGGATCTAAAATGGTCGCTTGGAAGAATATCAAGATAATCAGCGGTGTGTTGTGGAGCAAAGTTGCTTAGTGTTTAAGACATTCGGATTTCAGCCTCCCAGGATCGCAGCCCATTCTATCAACTTTAGTTTTGGAATCTGAGTAGTATCACTGATTTATTCTAAAATGCCTGGCGAGTGATTTAATTATATTCTTAATCAATCTTGACAAGTTCGTACTTTGGTCAGATATTTAAACTGGAATACTCTGATTAACTCATTTCCGATCAACGCTAACGGAGGAATCAAGATGCTAGAAGATTCTTATGTGAATCCAAGTCACTGAAGTATTTATTATTTGCTATTGATTCTTGATCTGATATCAGGAGAATCAAATTGAATACAATATGTCCAAGTGGTGTATACTTGACAGTAAAGTAGTATATCAAGGTTATGAATAGTGAGAAGAAAATCAGCTACATTTAATAGGAATTAAGTATCATTATATGAAAGAAAATACCATCAAAACCTTTATTTCTCTTACCTTTTTTCATCCTGTACACTGGTATTTGATGCTGCAGTTGGTTTGACTTCTGACTGTTTTCTCTTCACTTTCAAATTATTATTATTATTAGTTTTTTGATTAGATTTTTGATTTCTCGATTGTCTAGCTCGATTGGATTTGTTTATTGTTGACGGTTTTGGTGAAGAATTTCGACTTTTCTCTTTTGACTGTGAAGATAATTGATCTTTGCTCTTTGAATTCTCTATGTCAGAATCATTCGACAATGATAAAGGTGATGGAGATGATAATGATGATGGTGGGGAATCATGTAGGTTAACTACTTTTTTTTCAGAATTCATTTCATCTTCATCTGAATCAAGTAATATAGCGTTAGGTTTCTTTTTACGTAAACGAGAACGTTGTTGTACAGACTTGTTTCGTTTTTTATTATTATTACTAGTAGTAGTAGTGACGACGCCATGTTTAGTGACAGCTTCCGGCAAAGGTTCAGGAATAGTTGGTTTCGAATTGTCAGACGCCTCAACTACTAATGAATCAGCAGCTTCAATTACTGCTGCTGATTGTTTGACATCTTTTTCATTGTTCGTTTGAGAGTGATGACTATTTGATTTTGACGATGACATAATTTTCATTTCAGGATGACACACAGTGTCTTCGTCGTCGACGTCATCATCATCATCATTATTCTTCATTAATACTGTTTTAGCTTTTTTCTTCGGAGGAATTTCACTATTTTCCAATTTAATTGTTCCACCATTTAATAGTTGAGAACTTTCACTATCACTTCCATTCGAATGAAATAATATTCCTGTACGTTTAATTCCAGTAGAATATTGGGGTTTATCATATTCTAATGGTGTAGTATTTGAGAAATTTATTTCTTTAGTTAAAAGTTCTCCATTAGAAGAAGAGTTATCATTTTGATGAGTTGAAAAAATACTATCATCATCAGGTTGATGCATGAATTCTATAAATGAACAAAATTGTATAACACATTACTTAATTGTATTAAATAATACTTTGTATATAAATTTCAAAGTATCCATCATCACAATTACTAATAAAGTACATTGTAATATAATATCACAAATAGAATGAAATAATACAAATGAAACATAAAATTATGATACTAAACTTTTTGATTAGAAATACAATAGATGATTGAGTTCTTATAAGCTGACTGTTTAGAATGGATAAGATTTTTTAAGGGTAATAATATATGTAGAGGATTAATCGATGGAAATGAATGAATACAAAAATGGTTTTTCACAACAATATTACAAAGTAATGAGCATAAAATGGTTAACTAGATGCTGTAGGAAAGTAATCAATATAAACCATTTTTTTGATTCAGGTAATATCGGTTGAGAAACTTTTTTTAAAATTCATTCTATACTCGGTTTATTTTAGTTTGAGGATCTATGGAGCAGTGGCTGTCTATGGTTAAGGTGTACGATATTAAGTTAAAAATTCACAGGTCCGAATGCTGTCTCGCTTACTTCGGATTGGACAACCAAGTGAAATAACTAGTCATCAAACTTAGACTGTGGCTCTAAAAAAATTACACGCATTTTGTCTCACTTCCAATATATCGGCCGGAGTACCTGCCAAATTCTAGTTCTGATGTTCACTTTGAGAGTCAAAGCCATTGGCTTTCACTTTATATTCAAATGCACTGTACATCCAACTAGAGTCCAGATAGATAAGCCCTTATAACTGAATTCACCACCGTTGCTCAAGCCAATGGCTGGGATGTGGTATGTACATTCAATTAAAGATTGCCATACAGGACGAAAGGCGCGTTATAGATTCTCCCACTGGCTACTAATAAGTTCTGCTTAGAAATGCTTGTGACTGATTGAAATATCGATGCAACTCGCTCAGGATACATAAATGCCAAGAAACTGATCAATTTCAGTCTTCAGCACCAGAAACGGTAAAATTCAAAGTTTTACAACTGAGTTATGAAATAAGTGGTTTGAGAATCCCAATGAGTGATGGGTTACACAGTCATAGTGACTAGTATATCTTAATAATTTAGACATATATATCTCGTTTATTAGCTATACTACTGATTAAAATGTCAGTAGTCTGGAGACTGATCTTCAAAACCTTATAACCAGGATCACAGGCCCATTAGGTCGAGCTAGTTCCATTTCATTTTTATTTCGTATATATATATTGTCGCTGAAGTACTAACGTCCCATACTTAATGGGCTCCTTGGAATATCCTCAGTTAGTCTTAGATATTTTATCAGATAAGACCTTCCACAATCGCAATATGAAAAAACCAAAGTAGATAGGCAAAAGGCAAGGTGATTTTGCATATAAAAGTTGAAACTTCGTGTGGTTGGTGGAAGAATGAAGCTATTTATTTTCATTTCCTCATACGCATAAACTTTTAAGAAATAGGGGGCTAAAAAGTGTGCCACATAAGCGTTAATATTGCGAAGAAATAAAGGAGAGGACAGTACAACTAATACATAAAAGGGTAGAAATGATATGCAATGAAAGGTATAATTCAGTTAAATGTACAGCCTTTAAAACCTTGTTGCGTTTAAGAAAGCCCATCTACCTTTTGTGAAGAGCGTCACAGAAAATTAGTGCACAAAAACTAATGTCTTCTATTCTGATAACGGCTCACTCAACTGAACTGAACCACTTTTGAGACAACGGGCTGGATCTATACATGCCAGGCCTAAACAACTATCTTTCAAATCATGAGGCCATATCCTGAATTGACCACTCTTCTAATTTTTAACCTTAGTCTCACAGTAAACAAATGATGCACGATGTAGAATTAGCTTGGACGATACTTGTGAGATAAGACAGTTACTGAGGTCAGTGCTTCGGAATCCCAACTGTAACTGGATTATCGTCCTAGTATCCAGATACACATTGCTGAATCTTGGCATAATTAACATTGTGTTGCAACCAAATGTGAGCAAACATTCTGAAACAACGATGGTAGAACACGAAGAGTTGCTGAGGAAAGTAGAGTAGAACCATTACCTTTCCACACATAATTTGCCGTAAAACCAAATACATAAACCTATACCTGGTTAATGGGCTGCATTTAGGTCTTCGAGTACTGGTTTAGTGGTTAAAGAACTTGACTATTAACCACAGAATTGTGCGTAACAGGAGTAGCTAAGAGCAACAAAATGATAAACTAAGATGCCTTATGTAGAAATGGTTAAAAACAAATACTTGAATAACGATATTGATCGAAAACACAAAGAATCGACTTGTTTGGCTTTAAGCATAATTAATTAAATAATTCATACAGACCAAGATTACAAGAAACAGAGAAAAACATAGTTTAGTCAAAGTTTTTTCAAAGCTATAAAACTGATTGATTAATCAGTTTCATGTTTACCTAATTCTTTAATGCTCCTGACTAAATCCTATTGGTCAGGTTGAAACGTGACCACTAGTGTCCAAGTCACTCAACATTGTGTGTACCGTGCTGAACTGTTAGATCATAAAAAATGGTTGACAAAAAACCCTGATTGACACGCAGATTTCCTGTTATTTGGCTTTCAACAAAAAAAACGAGTTCGCTTGTCCTTATCAGTTGTTTTAGATTACGGGTACAACTCATAAACAAGTGTTAAATGGCACAAAACTTAGGTAGAGAGTATCCTGTCGACTATCAACTTTCAACTACCTAACAAACCGTACTCTTATCATGTAAGGCTTATGCGAAACTTCATCAGTTGAGATGGCTTGAACACGTGTTACATATGCCCAACCACCGACTGCCCCAACATGCGATGTTTTATGATGTAGAAGTAGGTTGGAAGAAATTTAGGGGCGACCAGACCAAAACATGGCACAAATCCATGAAGTCACTGACAAGTGGACTGAGTCATGTTGGTAGGTGTAGACTACCTTGCTGAGATCCGCGAGATGATAGCAACCGATGGTTAGACATCTTGAATGACATGGCTAAAAATCGTTTGCAATGGTGCAGGTGCATTCACTCTTTGTGTTCTCCCAAATTCTAATCTTCTGAACTCTTCATGTTCGTTTGTTTTTTCTCTTTCCAAATTCATTTCACTGGATTATATTCCTTGAATAATATCTCCAAACTTTGATCTTTCCGATTACTGCTTATACTTTTACTAACTCTACCACTACGGGATTTAAATCGACAACTACATCTCTGTGCTAATGCGGTATGGCAACTCGAACTGATATACGTACGTACGTACCTACGCATGTACGAAGTTCTACGTTGTTACTGACTGACTGAAATATACAGAATCGTAATTGCATTACAAGTAGGCATTCATTTATCATGGAGATATATACATATTGAGAAGAAAACAAATGACTTTGAAACTATGATGAATTCAAAAAAATGAAGATAATTATTTTAGCAATTAGAAAAAGTGTAGAAATCGAGAGACTAGGTCAGATAAACACAATAATATGAATAGGCTCAAATTGTCATACGATAATACCTATGCAAGATGAATAAACACAAATAATTGCAGCAATAAAATTAATGAAAGATTAAACATTGAGAATATAGTGCAAATATATAAAAATGAAAAGGTATGTGTACACAAGAGTTATAGGGCTCTAAATCGAAAGTAAATGAATCTGCATCCTTGTGACAGACTATGAGTTATATTTGATGTAGAGAGCAATGAATTAATTGATTAAGAGTGCTGACTAGGATGTGAAATTGATCGTCGATGACATGTAGCCATATTTTAAAGAATAATTTAATTATATCCCGTTTGGTTATAGATGCTTAGTTGTATGATTTTGTCAATGTATTTAAACAATAAGTTATTGAGTAATTGATGTTAAGTACTACTCCGTTCAATTGATTTGATTGTATGGAAATCATTCAAAAAGTATTATACTTATATATCACATTGATTTATTTCCATAATTAAATAAATCCAAAACTGTAATTTTTGTATTTTCTCTATGATAAGAACAGGGAAACAAGAAGCCCTGACAAACTACGAAAGCTATTTTTCGAGACGTTATTTCATTTTATTCAAAGCTTGTAAAACATCGATATTTATTTTGTCCTTATTTTATTCTACAGAACATGAGCTTTCGTTCGATGTATCATTCATTGCCATGCCCCTTTTCGTCCCGAAGCTATTGTAATTTAAACATAATATTTTGCACCTTATTTTCTACTCTAATTTCCAGTTTTGGACATAATCGTATTTTCCCAAATTACTGTACGTTGTGGTCAGGTAAATCACCTATTCACTCATGTACCTTTTTGCACTAATCTGAATTCAGAGATTTCACAGGAAATCAGGATATCGCAATACAGTCAATAGTGTTCCAACTGTCTTGTCTTCTCTCATTACTGTGCTTGCCAGCCAATCAGGTGCTAGAATAGTTTCTTCTCTCTACCCCACCTCGAACTCACGCGTACTAGCCTCAGGGTTAAACCGGCCAGCCTATTACGTCAAGGTCTTAATCTAGAGTAGAGTAGACAGATCAAGGTCATAACACTCTGTGCGTCGTCTGATTTGGAGTTTTCACTACCAAGTGCAAACTAGTGAGGTAGTTCCTTGGACAAAACAATCAACAGACGCAACAGTCAGCTAGCCACAATGTACAGTGTGGTACACATATGTACATCGGTTCAAGTTGTCATACACTATTAACACACAAAGATGAAATTGTCAGACCAAATCCCAGAATAGTAAAGGTAATAGTAGTGGAGAAAAAATTGACCATTGAAAATACGATTTAAGAAATGTCCTCAAATATCATATTAACAATACTGTACCATCTATACAAAACGAATATTAGTGAACATGGCAGAAACTATTTGATTGACTTGATAATAATAAATAATAATGTCAGCTGAGTAAGGGGCGTGCCTCAAGTATGTTAAATGAATAGATAAAAATACTTGGAAGAAACTGTTAAAAAAAAAATAAACAATTGTCGCCTATGGACTAGGAATAAAATTGGTTACAGTGAAAGAGTGGATATATCTACATTTTTAATTATTTTCAATATTTTAAACAGCATACTATACTTAGTATTGTTTTCCTTGTATCTTCCCATTGAGGTTTAAGACTGTAATTGGTCAGTCTGTTATTGGCATATATGCATACTGTGCTTATGCCTCAATATTGTCCCAGGGTGAACATCAACTCTGAGATGCAGGTACATCCGGCTGACGAGTCCCAAATAGGACGAAACGCGCGTCCTGGATTCCATTGCTAGCCACTATCCACCTTTGCTTATATAAGCACACTACACTACTCAACATTTACTGAATCTTTCTTTTAATTGGATTTCTTGTTATATTTCGTCAACATTGCATACTTTATTACTTACGATCCTTTGAGGTTATTTTTTCTCATTCTGTGAAATATGATGATTTGTACGAATGTAAAATTGCATTGTCTTGTTTTGATGTTACTTCCTTTTATCCCTTCTTATCATATATTGAGAAATAAAGAACATTTTGTGATGAATTAGTTTTTCAGATGAAGAGGAAATTAGGAAAAAACTCTGGAGGTGGATGGGATACATATTACGGAAATCGCCAACTGCATCATGAGGCAAGCCGTAACTTGGGATCCTCAAGGCAAAAGGGTAAATTAAAGAACACATTGTGTCGGGAACTGACGGCAGGCATCGCGAGAATAAATAGAACTTGGGAACAACTGGAAGGCAGAGCCCAAAAATAGTGTTGGTTGGAAGGTTCTGGTCGGTGGTCTATACTTCACGAGGGGTAACAGGAGTAATTACTTTGAGTTGTACACGACTTTCATAAAAAAGGACTACAATTTTGATGGATGAACTGAAAGATTCTATGAACCTACGGTTTTCCATGAATGTAATCAATAGATTGTATAAGTGATAGTCTTAACTAAGACCAAACTTTTTGTCATTAAGTATCTAACCTACGAAAAAGAGTTTACTTGTAGTTTACAATGTCAACGTAGATTTTAATTTGGCAAACAATATCTATATACATCATCAGGCGTAGTAGTCTCAAGTTAACTATTGCAATTAGAATCCATACGGTTAATGAAAAGCTAGTATAATGTAGACGAATTTACATCTAACATCAAAAGTGTTTATCAAATAAGCTTTCAAACAAACAAACCATTAAGCTGAAAATGAATGTATGGGGAAGTAGTTCAGCTGCAAATCTGCAAACTTAAAACAAAAGGATTGAATAAAACTTACGAAGCGGGCTGGCACATCTATCGTCCAAGGTAGGCAGGATGGGTCTGTTGGAACCGGAGTCAGTAGAATCTTCATTAGTTTGGACAGGCTCAGAATGAGAAGCAGGAGACCAGTGATTGTCATCCCATGCATGATTACTAGAGCTCTCTTGGTTAACGTCAGGATTTCTCGTATTCGATTCTTGAACATCAAAATTTAAATTTTCTTGTTCTGTTAAACGAGATTTTTCCAGTTTATGAAGACGTTTTAATTCACGTTTAGCTTCTCGTCGAGCACGTCTTTCAGCTCGTTTCTCTTTTGCTAATCGTTTTGCTTCTCGTTTAGCAGCCTTCTTTAAAGCTTTTTCTCAGCTTTTTTCTGCATTTTACGAGCAAGTCGACGAGCTTCTCTATTCTCTTGATAAGAATCTTTTTCATCAGATGGACGATCAATTGTTGAACTAGGGCTAAGCCTCTCCGAACAACTTATATCCATTTGTTGATAATTATTAAACTGTATGTGATGATTTGTATTATCTATCAATGTCTCTTCATCATTACTATCTTCCGGAGCTGGGTCTAAGCTATTGACTCTCGATTGATCTGTGCTTATTTCACTCGATGTATCATCACTGACACGATTTATTTGATCACCACTACTACTTGTCCCTTGATTAGTAGTACTGAGTGGTTGATCATTGTCAACTTTTGACTTCCTAATCATCCAAATCAAGTAAGAATGAAATATTCAAATTATCAAATAAATACTTGATTACATAACATTACAATTTATTTGATAAAATTCATTGTTTATGAAGACTGATATTTGTACATACTTTAACTTCAGCAACATATGCCATTAGATGCTTGATGATAAATAACTGTGTTCGTGAAAACGAATTAAAGAATAATGCTGTTTTTATCACAAATATTTTAGGTACGAAAGTGAAATTAAAATGTCCAACTTCTTCAACCATATTAATATTTATAATAAACTGCGGAAATAGTTAACATACTGAAAATATCAGTCAAGATTGAACATTAAGGAAATTAGATGTAGAAATGATTAATACTAATGTTCAAAATCCCACAGCTTAAACATGCCTTACATTTGTCTAGATCATGTTTCATAGCCATAGAGTATGTACTACAAAGTGTAATACTGTGTGGTAATACAAGGTCTTTGAATAATCAAATGAAAATCTCTCCTGCAGTAACATTTTACACTTGGAGGATGAATAAACATATGCCGAACATGCTTTCGCTGATGTACAAAGTGATCATAACAAGATGCTTTTGATCAAGGTTATTAAATAAATTTTTGTGATACAGAGATCAATTTTAAAATAAAATGAAGAAAATGTTAATCCTAAAAAAATGTTTTTGATGAAACTAAATAAAAATAGAGAGTGAGCAATCCTTGACGTCACCTACTCTGACGAGTTTTTCAAATGGATTCAACTAGAGAGTCATTGGAAAGTTTATGCATTATTTCCATAGATCTCATGACAAACACTACTACAAAACTTCCCGATCTATGAGGTGGAGAAGCACCACTATAGTCCGTATATTTGTCTTCCATAACCTATCAAAGAGTAAATATTTGATCAATAAGTTGACGTTCAGGTTTGAAACCCGATTCGTCTTCCTGATTTTTGGTTAGAGTGGACAATATTTTAGACACTATACTAGTTAATCCGATTCCTCTGTTGCTGTTCCACGAGGAAATAGTTTTCTCATACAGTTAAACGAGAAGAGGTCGAAACCAGTAACATGAAATTATATTTAATTTTCGGATACGTGTTAATACCTCAGTAAGTGTAACTTATAAAACTCAGTCACTATCATTAGAGAACTATGAAACTGATCTGTAACACTTCACGTTAGGTATGGTCTTTTCAACCATGCTAAGAGCTAGTGGACTTGTGTCGATATTTCAGCTACGCTGCATTTGAATGGAAGGCTATTGAAGTATATCTGTAAGCCGATTTCCAGAAATGAGAGAGTGGAACACAGTCCCAAAGGGACCCATTCTAACCCCTTTTGTTGTTGGAAGGTAGGATTGTTAGAGATGTTGATTCTTTCAGGAAAATACCTTACTGCCATCATACATTAGTACAGTTGGTAGCAGTTTTTCTGCTTTTGATGTTACAGCACTAAGCCTAACCCGGATGGCAGGCACGGTACAATCTAAAGAAGCGAACGTTTCAGAAAATATAAGTTGATTAGATCGTTACGACAGGCAGGCCTGACCACGACGTCAAAAAGTAGCTACCGCAGAGCGATTCAGGACACAGATATTTCCCATACAACATATAACATTGGTTTATTGTGGAATTAAAGTATTTAGAAACTATATTATTTTCAACCTAAATTATTTTACAATTACCATGTAATGTCTTCTAAACTTTCCACAGATTATATATGGCAGAATTTAGTATATGGAATAAATGTGCATCAATATAGGCTACCGAAACCTCTGTCAGTCAGTCAGTAACAACGCAGAACTTCGTACATACGTACATTAGTTCAAATTGCCACACCACATTAGCACAGAGATACAGTGGTCGATTCAAATCCCGTAGTGCTAGATGTAGTAAAATTATAATCTGTAATCAGAAAAATTAGGGTTTCAAGATGTTATTCAAGGAGTATAATCCAGTGAAGTAAATTTGGAAAGAGAAAAAGAAAGGGGCATGAAGAATTCAGAAGATTAGAATTTGGGAGAACACAAAGAGTGGATGCACCTGCACCATTGCAAACGATTTTTAGCCATGTCATTCAAGATGTCTAACCATCGGTTGCTATCATCTTGCGGATTCCAACCAGGTAGTCTACACCTACCAACATGACTCAGTCCACTTGTCAGTGACTTCGTAGATTTGTGCCATGTTTTGGTCCGGTCTCCCTTAGCTTTCTTCCAACCTACTCCTATACCACTGAACATCGCACGTCGAGGCAGTCGGTCGTTGGGCATACGTAACACATGACCCAGCCATTTCAACTGATGAAGTTTCACTACATCATCAATTGATTTGCCATCCTTACCTAGTACCTGTTTCTTAACAACTGCGTTACTTACTCGATGGTCCCAGGATATTCGATTAATGTTTCGAAGACACCTATGATCGAATACTAGTAACCTACTTATATGCTCTACTCTTACCGGCCACGTTTCACAGCCACTAAAGTACGGCGGAACGAACTGATGCACAGAAGACTCGTCCTTTGGTTGATAGACAGATACCTCGCCTGAGCCATAAATGACGCAAGTTGGAAAAAGCTAGTCGAGCATTACGTATCCGTGCTGAGATTTCGTCACACACCAAACCACAAGGGCTGATGAGACTTCCAAGATAAGTGAAGCGATCGACACGCTCAATTACTTCACTCCCTATCATTAGTTCCAGAATGAGCGACAGTCTTCTATCGAGCCCCTCCATCGGTGGCTGGTAGCCATGTGATCTATTTGGGTCCAACGTTGGGACGAATTCGGGGGTCGCCATGTTAAAAGATGTTTTTCCTTATGCTTAAAGTTAGTATTTGCAAGGAACAGGTGGTTATCTCAGCATAGCTGCAACAGACGGTCGCCATTATCTGTTCTTTGAGCCACGATGCTATAAGATCCACCCAGGTGTCTTCCCCTATCGCTTAGTTTACCTACATGAGCATTGAAGTCACCGGCCACTATTACTACATCCGAGCGCCTAGCTTTTCGGAGGTCGGAGAGCTTTCTGTAAAATTCATCTTTTACATCATCTGCGCTGCAGTCAGTGGGAGAATAGGCAGAGACGACGAAGAGGCAACGACGAGTGTCCCTATCTTTTCGGATCCTTACTGTTCCGTTCAGTCAGACAGCGCACAAACCGAAACCTTAATGGAGTATAAATAGATCAACAAGACCCAGGTGCTTGAAGATGACTGTACTGACAGTAAAGTGAAGGAAACATAATCCACTTAGTGGTCTCTTAAGAAAACCGGGATGCCAAAAATAGGAAATTAAAACGACTGTTTCAATCCAACTACCATAAAACTACTAGTTTACTGCCAGCACCATAAAATCTCCCGATAATATTTGATCAAAAACTGTTTCGAGTTTCCAGTACGATAATTTTTATGACGTGTTGCATAACTCCAATACTATAACACTAATAGGCAGGAATGTCTGATAAATACTTAGATATTTTAAGGATCATATCAATTAGTTTGGTTGAAAAACAAAGATATTTACGAGTAATGGTGAGAGGATTTTCCATTTAACTCCCCCCTCTTATGACCTGAGAGGAAATAAATCACAACACAAGAATGTGAAGATGAGTTTTATCAACAGATACCAGCCTGTGATCCAAACTATCTTCCAATGACAAAAGCTACTACAAGCAAAATTTATCCATCATAAATATATACAAATCCGAGTGTACATATTCAGTCAGTCAGTCACAACGTAGAGCCTCATACGTATATACATCGGTCAAGTCAGTTCAAGTTGAAATACACCGTTACCACACAGAGATGAAATTGTCAACACACGTCCCAGTATAGTAGAGGTAATAACAGTACCAGTACTAACAGGAAAGATTAGGTATTGAAGATACGATTCCAGAAAATATGAAGTAGTAAAATAAGAACACAAAACAAGTCATGAGGAATTTAAGAGCTCGGGATTTTGGGGAAGACAAAGAACGGATGCAAATGCACCATTCTAAACGATTTGAAGCCATCTCATTCAAAGCCTCTAACCATCGGTTACGATAATCACACGGATCCCAACCAGGTAGTCTACATCTATTAAAATGTCTCAGTCCAATTGTCGGTGACTTCATGAACTGATGTCACGTTTTGAATTGACCGCCACTAGTCTTCTTTCGGCCCACTCCTACACCAGAAAACATCGACCGCTGAGGTAGGCGGTGGTTGGGCAAGCGTAACACATGTCCTAACTATCTCAGGAGGCAAGTCCTACCTATTATGTACAATATGAAGACATTTGCGACCAAACTAGCTAGAACTGGTTTGAAACCTCTGAACTGAGGATGAGCCGAGTATCTACATTTATTAAGCTTCTCTTGTTAAATTCAAGAAACTAACGTATTTTAAAATTAATATACTGGAAATTACCTGGAATGTTGACGTTTGTATTGGCGAACACATTCACTGCCCACTAAAATGGAAATTAAAAAACCAGTTTTAAAAAAATATAAATCCTATGGGTGACCAATCAACTGAATGATACATAACATGAGTGAAAAGATGGACGTTTTTAATTTGATGAAACTCACTAATAAAATACAATTTCCTATACTCGGTATTTAGTGGTATTTTTTAGTTAGAACCAGTGATATTAATCGAATACTTAAATCAAGTAAGCGAAGTGATGTTCGAACCTGTTGTCTAAACGTTGGAAGTTAAGTACATTTATCATTAAACTTCGTAAACTGAGGGATTTCATACAGATTACATGCTAGGTGGGGGGTGGAAGTGTAAACAGGCTATTGTGATTAAAATGAATGAAATCCGATCAACATCACCACCTTTGTCCCTGTCTGCATCAGGCTATATATATATATATACCTATGAGTTGTGTACGTTGTTGACCCTTTAGCACAAATTTCCCTATGTATTCCTAGTCCTCTTCCTACGGATAGTTGCTAAGCAAAAATAAGGAAAATTATTGTGAGTCATGCCAATAGAGCTGTTAGGTCTCGATAAGTATAATGAATGGTAACTTTGGGATCCGTTTATTGACCAATACTAGACGTATACTTTTATCGTAAAATTGTAACTAAACTATTCATATTCATATTATTATTATTATAAACTTAATTTTGACCTATGAACCATTATTATACGTTTTACCATTCTTGAATTACGCCCTGCCTATTAGTCACTGCCTCCCACATTCACAGCCACATTTGGCCAAATCCTGTACAAATGTTGTTTTCAATTTAATGCTACGTTGTGGTAAGTTTGATTGGTATATAAACCCCGTATGTTTAAAATAAATGATTCATATTGCAGAGGCTGAGATTGGAGTTCTGGACTCAACTGGCTGGGCTAGACAGGAAGAGAGAGCAATCAGGACTCTAGACTGCTCATACGGGTTTACGCGTCATTGATCCGATCGATAAGTTACTGCTCCCTAATTGGCGGTCACAATTTATAACAAGAGCACAATTAAATCACTGCGCAGCAACAACTATTGCATCCAATATAGGTTGGTTGGGGAGCTATGATGACAGTCATCAGGTCGAGGTGGGGGATACGGCCACCAGCCATACATACGAACCACTTTTGGAAAGTCTGATAAACAAGTGTTATGAACCTGAAGTACATCTCACACTGTTGCTTGAGCGGTATTAGAACTGATTATTAACCACACTATAAACTTCCTTGCAGCTTTACACAGTATATATGACATTTTAGTCCTAATCTCGAGAACAATTACAACCAGGACTAGACAACACGCCTGAATGCATCAACACCCAACCCATTTACAATAGCAAGATTGATAATCCCATCTATATATTCTGAAGAGCAATAACACATTACCAATGGTACTAGATTGAGTAACTAATGAGATTAAGAGTGCATCATCAGTCACATCCAAATGAATCATATATGAATGGAGTGAACTTGAGGTATTCAGCTATCAAAACTTGAATCAATGCCGTTTCTTAAGTGCATAAGACTATAAATGGTGAGCAACCGAAACCTTTGAGAACTACTTCTTGTTACAATTAGGGAAGGTAGTTCAGGTCTCAAAAAGGTTTGAAAATATCAAGACAGTACACTAACACAAGAGATTTAATTTAGTGTGCGCTGTACACCGAGAATTGGTAAAGAAATTATATACACATGAAATCTGCCAAACATCGCCGTTCGTACTATGAAGTGGAAGTATCACCTGGTTTCATAAATGCAGGCTGAAATGTAAACGGCAAGATATTGAATTAGTTGTAGTATACCACAGTCTAGAGTGTGTAGTAGATGACTTCCTCCTAAGCAAACTTAATTTCTGGTGTAATAGGGGTGAAAGCCTTATGGTAGACGACTTTAATGCATCGTATATAAACTGGGGAAACTTAGAGGTGGGGCCCCCAACAATTACATTTGATTGCAAATTGTTAAAAACCACAATCTCCCTAGCTTTATTCCAGGACACTAGAGATTCCACCAGACATGACGTACGAAGCTCCTCGTCTCTCTTGTGCTTAGTCTTCGCGGTGATGACGTCGGTCGAATGACTTTCCTCTCACCTCTAGGAAGAAGTGACCATGTCGTCATCTTATTTAAGTTCATGGCTGAGATGACCCGTCAAGCAGTTGCACCGGCCCGTCCTAACATATGGAGGACAGATATGAAGACGATCAACTCTGCAGCACCGGCTGAAAACTGGAGAACTGACTCAGAGGCATCAGTAGAAGAGGCATGGACTCATTTCAGGCATTTATACAACCAGGTAACTCAACCATATATGCCCTGGACAGTCCCAAAGAAGAAGCACAGCTATCCCCAAATAGGCCGGGATGTTCGACGTTTACTAAGACAAAAGAAATGCTGAAACATTGGCATCAGTCTTGTCACAGCAGGTACAATGGAATGCTACAGGTCAGTACGAAATAGATGTATAATTACAATCTGAGGTCAGCAAAAACATGAAATGCAGTTAGCCCAATCCGTAATCAAGCAACCTAAAACCATTCTCGCACATAAATTACGGAACAAGGACGCAGCATTGGATTCCTAACTTAATTACGGAAGGGATGGATCTGAAATGATAGAGAATGATCAGGAAATAACAAAGGCTATGGCAAACTATTTCGGGCAGTTTCTACTCGGGAGCCTCTTCTGGACGAATAACTAGACCCTAATAATAAGTCAACAAACCGTCTGCCTGCTGTGGACTTTGATCGAGACAATGTACTTAGGGCTCTTAGAACTTTAGACGCGGAAAAGTCAACAGGACCAGCTGAACTACATCCTAAAATCTTGAGACTAATTGCACAATATATTGCAGTCCCACTGGCTGTTATATTAAATATGTCGCTTCGCCAAAGTGAGTTACCTATGAACTAGAAGGATGCATTAGTCACTCCAATACATAAAACAGGGTCAAGACAACTTCCACCAAACGACAGACCTGTCAGCCTCATCAGTGTCGTAGTTAAAATACCAGAAAGAATTATCGAAAAAACCATAATAACATTCGTAGAAACCAACAACGTGTTAAACAGTGAACAACAAGGTTTCAGAAAAGGTTTGTCTACTTAATATAACCCTTTCTTTCCCACTAGAGTTATGAATTAGTGAGGAATTACGATTGGGACTTGAAGTTAAGTTACGGTTAGAAATTGAATTTAAGGTCTTCATCACGTATTGACATCAATGATAAAAATGCTATTTAACCACACAGAAGAGGGAACTCCGTGCTAAAATCCATAATCTGCCGTCTTTAATTTCATTGATTTGTTCACAAATTGTAATCTCACCATGATATCTGCTACTTAGAGTGAATCATGTTATCAGGAACAAATAAGATAATTTACCACACGTAACAACAGGACCATAAGCTCCCTTTAAAAAATATTGTCCGTGTCTCTATGTAAACTACTGCAATCATTTAGACACTGAGCTTCAGAAGAGGATTACTGTATACATTACTAATATTATTTTGGTCTACCTACAATGTAGTTTCTTGTAGATAGTTTAGAGCCAAATTTTTCGTGAAGGCTCGTGATACTACTCAGCTGGCCAAACCGAATAATGCTGACCAGTTCCAATCTGAGGCCCGCAGGTTGACTAATCTCAAGCAGGAATTCGAGACACCAATACATTGGCCATGTCAACACGAGGGAAATCTCTATTAAAACCTAGTATGTTGTGAAATCAAAGCAAGTTCGGGATTTAGCTTCAAATAAAACGTTCTATCACGAGATTACAGAGTAAATTACATCTATTTGACTACAAACAGCAAAAAGCTACTTACTTGGTTTGAAGTCATAGAATTGAAGCAGAAACTCCTCAGCCCTAGGATCCTAGGTAGGTTTCAGTCTAATAGAAATAATATTACCTCTCCCAACATATAGATGCCTGGATTAGCTTCGATTTCTTTCATAGCTGTCATGAACTGTGTGCTTGGCTTTGGCTTTCCCCACTTATCTTTGAATTTCTCGTAAGGAACAATATTCTTGGCGGAAACAAATGAACTGTACAAGGTAAAGACAAAAGACAACAAGCTTACACTTGATAAGTTCCGTAGAAAAATATAGGAAGTTTTCCCTTGGGTATTTGTACATCATGTGGAAGAGGATTTACCTACAAATATATTAGGACTATCGTCAAAATACCCTAGCAGGCCAGTTGGGGAATCCTTTTATTTTAGCGAAAACTTTGTCGCCAGGGGAGTGAGACATTGATTCTTCCCAGAGTAAGTGCCAGTAAGTAAGCAAAGATACGCTGAGTTCCGAATCACCGCGCTTACGTCGTGATTGATTCTAACAAGTACTCATCGCCAGCTAATGTTTTAGTCTCTCGAATCTCTTTGGGAAATATATAAGACTTCCATGCACAAAATAATTATGCCTTCTGAGATCATTTTTGATTGAAATACTAATGAATGATGATATAGCATGTCACAAATATGGCTCATTTAGCTTTGGATACTTGTTGACTAAGCACATTAGAACGACGTAAAAATAAAAGTTCAAATAAGAAATGCATTAAGTACGAGTATGGTCCAGGTGCTAATGTGGTCAAGGAAACTGGACGAGTGGATGTAGAGATTGAAATATCCAGACTAGAGTAGCAGTGAGAACCTAGACATTGCAAAATAGGCAACTTATTTTATACTGTAGCGGTGTCTTCACACATGTACGATTTTGGTCCGAAATGCACTTACATATACTTTTTTCTTTTTCAGGACGGCTGGTAAGTAAATCCCCAAAATCAATAGCTCTGTCTTTGACATTGCGAGCTGACCACATTAGTTTTAGTGGACTCATCTAGCTGAAGACACTCGGTCGTGTATCCGCACCAAATCACGAGTGTTAAAGCCGTGCTTAATTTCTCTTACAATCGCTAGGCGGTTTACATCAGTCGCTTCTCCATATATTGATAGTCTATCAAATATATCTTCAAACCTCCTCGCTTCTGACTTTTGATTTCACTAGGTGCGCACGATTCACAATAGAAGGCGGTACTGGTTAAACTCCGGATATCTGCATGATTTATAATAAGTAAAGTGAATAATGCAAGAATTACAGATATCCAAATAAAGTATAGATGTCAGACTCACACAAGGCGAGCACAGCTAAAATATGTCAAAGTTATCAATGAATAGACAGCACAAACATTTATGAAAATAGACAAGGAAAATGGATATCAACATGAATGCACAAAATACAGTCAACGACATTACAGTTAAACATGCGAAAATAAGAAAAGAGTCTGATAATGGTTTGTATCAGTGTGTCATATTGGTTTACTGTACAACTAGTCGACCGTTAAGTGACAAGCTTTTTAAGAGAAAATGGACAACGGCTAGCAACGGAATCCTATATGCCAACATGGGACTGATCAATCACAGTCCTAAATAATAATCATAAGTTACAAGCTAAACAACACCAAGTAAATTTAATCGCTTGTTTGTTATAAAATGGTTAGGAATCACTGGAAGATCTAGCAGCTCGAGGAGGTCATCAACTTAGTATTTCTGAATTTACCTGGAGGCAGATTTTCAGCAGTTAATCAAGCAGAGATCCGTTCATAACGTCTTCCATGACCATTGTATCTGCAAACGTAAGCATACTGGATTGTAACTTGGTGAACCACTTTCGCGTGTGAGAACAACCGAACTTTCAGTGGGGAAGTGGTTTATAGTAAGCGAACAAATCCATTGAGTTATCAAGTGAAAATACAATAAGTTTTGACTTACTTTCGAAACCCATGATCGGAATCCAATGAATTTTAGAAGCTTGTTCGGATCTGGGCACTTTAGAATGACTTTAATTTCGAGAGGCTGAAGGCTTAGATGCCTAGAAAATTACGTCAGATAGTTCTCTACAAGTTAAGAATAGAGAAACTGGAATTATTGATAAATTGCCATACCTGATTGACACTTTGCGATCATTTCTTTTTTTCCTTTTTTCAATATAATAATCTGTCACCAAATTTATAAGCAAGAAGTCACTCGTTACCAGTCAAACGCTCAAGTATATTGATTCCGCGTGGAATAGACCTTTATTATGAGATAAAAAATGAAGAGTTAGAGAGTGATATGTCGGCCTGTGGACTGTTGAATGTTAATATTAAACTTATTTTTATGTGTTACCACGTTTTCAGGGTCATGCTGACTTGTTTATATCATTATTACCGAGGTCACTTTTGCCTGTAGTGGTTTCGGCTAAAATTCATTTTGATTTGTCTGTCGTGAATGCGCTTGTTTGCGTCTACATAAGGTGTATTTACTTTTTCTTCTTCCAGGTTATTTCTTAGCAGTTCAGATTATTCATATCCCAACATATATACACTGACCCTTGGAAAATAACCTGGTCGCCAACTTAGACGAGTAGATTCGATGCTTCTGAGGACAACAATATGTACTTTGTCGAACTCGGTTTTATTGATTACCCCTACATAATTTCGTGATAATTCGTAAGGACCGTTATGTGACAGATTAAATTGAAATGGTAAGAAGTATCATTTTTATTCCTGCCAAAATCCTAATCCTGGCCTTCAAAGCCTCCTACCAACACTGGTTTTTGTTTATCACAATTGAACAGCTATGTCCAGTAATTTTTCACATTGTGTCCAGTTGTACAAGGGTTGTCGTAATAAGAAATTTGTTTTACAACTGTCCTTAATCGTATGTAATTCGTTGAGGCACAGATACTAAGTAGTATTTTGAGCCACCTCAACCACCATCCAACAATAGCTGTCTTGAAACTGATCTAAAAATAATAAATCAATAGTTCCAAAGAGCAGCATTGATATCTATCAGAATTATGGGACGAGCTCATTAAGAAAATAACAGTGCAGTTACTCCTCATGTAAGTTAGTGGTACAAGAGGCCTTTTATTTTAGTGAGATTAGATTCCTCTGTGTGATTATTGATAAAACGATGAGAAACCCACATTTTCAATAGTCAGAGGGTTCACCAAATATATCAGCCTGTTTCTCAAGCTCACCAACATATCCTTGACAAATAGTGTTATAAGTAGGGCGGACAGTTTTGACCGCTCATCGGATGACTCCGTTGTATTCAAGCTTTCTTCGTTATCGTCACATTTTTCACAGGTGATGTTAGACTGCGAGGAGGATGCTTAAGAAGGCATCAGCATTTGCATCATTATAACTTACAATTTAGTACTGTTGGAATAATTTGTGCTCAAGTATTGTGACTTGAATTTGTTTACATAAATGTCAAATTAGATTCCGTACGTTGTTGTTAGCAGGTAGTACAGGGGCCGTGAATAATGTACTTTGGGGTCACTTTATTGACTTTGTCCAGTCGATCCGCTACAACATCCAACTTTCATCTAACTCACTTGCCCAGCCTGCCACTCAGCTACGTTCCAAGAATTATTTAAACATCATGTTTTTCTCGGCAAACTCACTCACAGCACTATGGGAACGATATAAAAGCATAACCCAGGCTATATTTATTTTCACGATCTTGAGCGGCTTTGCTCAAGGTTGAAATTTCATGCTTGATGTCCTTCGGGGTTGGTTGACCATTTGTAAACGTCCAAGAGTTCGTGGCGTAAGCATAATTAGTTAGTCTATTAACGTCTTAAAACCTAACTAACCGTACAAAACGATCTCGAGTGTGTTGTCTTTTCTTAAGTGCAAACACTGGATTTGCTTTCGAGTAATTGTCTATTAAAAAGCTTCCGCTACACCCGCTTCGTTGAAAAATGAATTGTATTTTAAAAATAACATACTATCGGTAAATAGAGTGACACGCGATCCCATGGACTGTCTATTTACGTTAGTGAGAAGACGTTTAACACTATCGGTTTACCTGGCTGATGATAGACAAAAGTTTCTTGTTTCAGATGGTTTAATGAACCTTGACCGGTAAGATGGGCTTAACTCTATTACTTTGTAGACTACACAGATTCACTATATCCAAGTGGAGAGACAACAGATTAATGCGGCAAGTTTCTCAGCATATAGATGGGAAGCCAGTCTGTTTTGTAATGTGCAAATCCAGGCTTCTTCATGACATCGATCTGAATTACTGATAAAACGTGTATTGTCACGTACTTAAGTGCAATCGATAGGTCCATTGAATATCGACAGAAAACACACTCGTTATAGGCTAATGAGAGCTGAATCTGTGATAAAACTGTTTGATATATCTTTGGAGCAGTCCAAAGTGTAAAGAAACCGTAAAGACATAATTATCAGTCTGGTTAATAAACCTGCGTCCCGTTATTCTAACCAGTAGTCATAAAACTGATGGGACATATTATTCGGATGTCTTTTCTGAACTGTGTGAGAGGAAATGAATTTTTAGCCAAGTAATAACGGAGATTTGGGGATGACATTTCACACTCGAAGGGATTATCTAATACTGGCTTGTTGTGTACTGAACGACGTAAATATGTTTCATCTTCTCTTTCCATTTAGGGCTGATCATCTGAGAGGACGTTCCAAGAAGATTTGTAGGGCCAGAGAAATGTCACAGAACCATACACTAATCATCCGATGGTCAGGTCATTGAGTGTTGCACAGTTCATCGATCCTTGCCAAGATCAAGAAAAACCAATGCGTATCGCCTAATTGCACTCCATAAATTGGCCAGTGAAGTAGTGGTCTCACTCTGTTTATTGTACCTACTCTTACTAATACACTTCTGTGATAACGTCGTTCGTATTGTATGGGCATCAAAGTAGCCATAGTACCTTGGTACGATGAAGGGGTAATCCATGTTAGGTACCAACTATAAAGTGTGACTTTGACGTTAGCTGGTTGGTCACATCATTCTCATCTAACTCAAGTAGGCTTCTAATCATTTAACACAGCTCATCTACGTTAGTGACCTAAAATGGGATTTTAGTTTAATAAAAGGTGATCGACCTCCTTTCCCTATTACTGAAGACGAACTAGTTCGTAGTGAAACATAATTGTTACTTTAACCATTCATTTAACAATGTTGTATTTTATGAGATTAACATTATGCTCTCTTCCATACACTGTGTTGAAGTACTGTAAATGGTGCGATCCAATGTAACGTTCAAAAACGCGATTCAGAATATGAAGCAATTGCCAAGTGGATTCGATAGGTCTTTAGTCGTCCGATTATTCGAATTCTAAACCCATCAAATGTTTACTACTGTATTATTGTCATTACTTAATATGTCAAGTTGTCAAATCTTAAGATTTAGAGTTCTTTGTTTTACCCCTAATC